ACATTTGTATTTAATGACATAGATGAATATAAACGTTTTTCATCATAAGTAAATTGAACTTTTTTATCAATTTCTAATTGATCACATGATTGAATAAGAAGACGTAATGCATTATACCATGGTAAAAAGACATCTTTAACAACATCACGAACACCCTCTTCTTTGAATTTCAATGATTCACCACGTACGACTGGTGATGTAATTAAATAGAGTCTCAATGCGTCAGCTCCCTGTGCTTCGAAAATTTCCCTTGGATCAGGATAATTTTTTAATCGTTTTGACATTTTTTCTCCATTACTTGCTAGAACAATTCCATTAACAATTAAATTTTTGAATGGTGGTTGATCAAATAAAGCCGTTGAAATAACTAACAATGTATAAAACCATCCACGTGTTTGATCAATACCTTCAGCAATGAAATCAGCTGGAAATGTATCATGAAATGTTTTACGTCCTTCAAATGGAAAATGAACTTGAGCATATGGCATGGAACCAGATTCAAACCAACAATCAAATACTTCAGGAATACGTCGTAATACACCTTTACCTAATCGTGATGGAATTGTAATATCATCAACAAATTCTCGATGAATATCATCAACAGAAACACCGGATAGTTCTTTTAATTCTTCAATTGAACCAACACAAACAATTTCTTGTCCATCTTCACTCATCCATAATGGCATTGGATTACCCCAATAACGATTACGTGAAATAGCCCAATCACGTGCATCGCGAAGCCAATTAGCAAAACGTTTTTCTTTAACAAAATCAGGTACCCAATATGCTTTACTATTATTAGCTAATAATCGATCAACCATTCCTTCAACACGAATAAACCAAGATGGAACAGCACGATAAATTAATGGTGTATCACTTCTCCAACAGAATGGATATGAATGTTTCATTACAGATTGATGAACAAGTCGTTTAGCTTCTTTTAAATGTTTAATAATTACTTTATCAGCTTCTTTTACATTTAATCCTTGAAAATCTTTAACTTCATCAGTAAATCGACATTGAGCATCAATTGGACAAACAACAGGTCCACTATCTTTATTAAAAACACCATTTGCCAAACAAACACGATAATCATCTTCTCCAAAATATGGAGCTTGATGAACAATACCAGTACCACTTTCTTCTGTTACATAATCATCACATAAAACACGAAAAGCTGTTGAAATCTATTTTAAATAAACATAAAAATTAATTTTTTTTTGAAATAATTAACATACATTAGCAAAATATGGAAATAATGGTGTATAATGCATTCCTTTTAAAGTAGATCCTTTGAAACTATAGAAAGACAAATAAATTAAAAATATGATTAATTTTAAAATAAAACTTACGTTTCTAATACTTGATATGCATCAGGTTTTTTATAAAGATCAGCTACACGTTTTTCCATTAGAATAAAAACTTCATTCTTAGCTTTATCTAAATAATTTTAAAATCAAATAAATGTATATATTATTTATAGAACTAACCAAGAATTTTCACGTAATTAGAATTTGGATTAACACAAAGTGCAAGATTCGATGGTAATGTCCATGGTGTTGTTGTCCATGCAACAAGTTTAACTGTTGGATCAAGTGTAAGTGGAAATGATACCCAAACAGCTGGATCATCGACATCTTTATAATTTTGTCCAGCTTCAAAATTTGATAATGGAGTACAACAACCCATTGAATATGGCATTACCTTTTAGTCAAAACAATTTTTATTACATTATTTTTCTAAAATATTTTCATTCATACTTTAAAACCACGATAGACAAAACCTTTTTCATATAATTGTTTAAAAATAAACCAAACCGATTCCATAAACCATGGATACATTGTTTTATAATCTCGACGAAAATCAATCCATCGACCCATACGTTCAACAATTTCCTATTTTTTTATTCATATTATTAATAAAAGATGAAAAGAAGAGAACATACTTCCCATTCACCAGCATATCGCATAACAATTTTTCGACAATGATCATTATAAGTAGCAATACCCATTTTAGCTACATCTTCAGGACCTTTAATACCAAGTGTTTTATCAATTTCATATTCCTAATTCATACAATAAAATGATATTAATAAAATAAAAAGAATAATTCATACCACAGGTAAACCATGACAATCTAATAAAAATAAAATATAGATTTATATAGAAATTCAAATAGATATATCTTACCCCAACCAAATCGACGCTCAACATAATGTCCTGTTTGATACGCCCATCGAGTAACTGTATCTTTGATTGTACCAGCTAAGATATGACCATAATGTGGAAGACCAGTAGCAAAAGGTGGTCCATCGTAGAATGTATATCTTTAATAATTAATTGTTCTTTTAATTGTTTTCAATTTCTATATTTTTTTACCTTGGTCGATCTTTCGATAATTTATTACTTGTTTCAAATGCATTGATTTGTTTCCAATAAGCTAAAATATCTTTTTCATTATTTCCAAATTGAATTTTTTTATCGGTTATAGAAAAATCAATTGGAGTAGAAGGCGTTGTCGTAGTAGTAGTAGTAGTAGTCTTTGTTGCCATATCTTAAAGAAAAGTATAAAATTTTATTTTAGCAAACGTGGACAATGTCAGTATTTAAGTGGAATAAAAATAATGATGTTCCTCCCTGAAATTCCACCGAAGCTGATGCAATTTATTAACCATACAAAATTTTCTTTAAAACCTCTGTGTAATTGATTTCAATCGGAAACTACTGACACCTAGTCAACAAATACTAGATAAATGTTCTACATAATAATCATTTTTATTTTAATCTGATATTTACTTATATGTATTAGCTTAATTCGTCATTCTATCTTGAAATTTTGTAATTCAGTGGCAGATTTGGGGGAAGGTTATGAAGGCGATCCCCCTTTCAAAAAACTTTTTTGATTTTTTACAGCAAAAATAGGTTCACACTACTTCGATTGGGCTCAAAAAATAGTTTTTAGCCGAAATCGCCCGCTACTCTCCTTTCCAAAATTCTAGATCTTTTCGATAGTCATCAATACATCGAATTATCAAAAATCATAAGCTTGTAATTTGAAATCTTTCCAAATGATTTCTATCATTAGTCAACCATAGAAATGTTTCTGTTTATGTCTTCTGAAGAGACATTCATATATATTTTATTATATAACTTCATTGAGAACATCCTATTTTCGAGATACAATAATTTACGTTCAAAAATTGAAATTACTGTTCATTTCAAAATATTTTGAATAACTTTCGAAAGGAACAAAATAGCAAGCGGAGGTTATTACGTCTGGAAAAAGAATATATCATATGAATCTATTGATTGTCGAGAGTGTTCTTCAACCGACAGACGAAGAGATTTTATTTCTGATTACTACTAATACGATATTTTAGTCATCAAAATACAGTTAGAAATCTTTCGATACAACTTCATCTTGTTCCCTTTGAAAGTTGTTCTATTGAATAATTTATCTGTAAATGGAATATTGAACAAAATGAAAATGTTGATTTTATTAAATTTTATCTTAATTAAGATAACAATTTTAATATTGTTTCATGATTTGAATAATATCGTCAAACACAAAAAT